ACCAGATGTGTTAGGTTCAGTAATTTATGACATAAAAAACTGACAATTCTAAATAGTTCAAACTAATAGTTTTCAGGATTAGGTACTTTGTTAGACAAATGACATGTAAGCCTTCTAAAACTAAAAATATTAAGTACTGAATGGTAACTCAGAACTCTCAATTAGGGTCATTCCCAGTTCAAGGCAATTAGGACTAAAGTTGTGGTAACAGTCTTTACGTGACTTTTGGCCCATAGAGGCAAGGGTTTCTGATGAACTCACTTGGTGGAGAACTGTGATATGGTAAGACCAGCAGGGTTACTCATCACCCCAATTAATCACAACTCCTAGCTTCCTCATGCTTGGACAGCCCCCTCCCATATAAGATACTGAGTTTAATTATGTGACTTGTTTTGATGAACAGGATGTGATGGAAAGGCTGTTATGGAACTTTCAACTTTCAAGAGGTCCTGAACCTTTCATTCTTGTCCTTTAGATTCTTGAGGCCACCACATGAAGAAGCCTGCAATGAAAGCTGTGTAAAGAGGCCTGGCAATCTCAGCTGAGTTCCACCAATGATCCGAGTTTCACAGATCAGGAGCTTACCGTCCAGGCTGTCCACAGCTGCTTGTGTGGCCCTGGTGAGGCCAGGAGAGGGGCACCTGGCCTAGAGAATTCTAAACATTATGCACCACTGCTGGCTGAAGCTACAGAGCTTTAGAGTAGCATGTTACACAGTACCAGATAACTGATAACTTTAGTAGATATGCTGAACGGTTTTCCCCCCTCATACTTCCCTGATAATTGATACACAGAGCTCCAGGTGCTCCATGGCATGACCAACATATTAGCTATGTTTAATTTTAGCATATCTGGGGAGTACACAGCAGTTACTCACTATGGGGTCAACTTCATTTTTCCAATGAACACCTTCATGTACTCCATTACTTCCCGGACACCTTCTTTTGTGAAGCTCCTGTTCAATGTTTGCTCATTTTTATTACATTATTTAACTTTTTTAAAAAAACCATCTTCTAGAATGTTTCATGTTCTCAACGTGAGTTCTTTGGAGTCAGTCACTTTGTCTAGTCTGTAGTGTGCTTTCCACTCTTTTTATGGTGTTTTTAATTCATAGTTCTTAATTTTATTAAAGTTCAATTTAACATAATTTTTCCTCTATGGTTTTATTCTGTAATACAAATCTGTGCACACTCCAAGGTCCATATCTCAAGATTTAACCTCAGTGGCCACTCCTGACTTCACAGTAATTGAATCTGAGTACCCACAGCAATTCCACTGACATCCTACTGCCATTTATCACTACAAAAGTAATTATATACCACTGTTCAGTGAACATAAGGCATCCTAATATTCCACTGAAAAGTAAAACTTAGTATCATGTGGTACCCTGTATTATAAATAGAAACATCAAAGCCCTTTATTTGTTTATTTAAAAAAAATCTCTAAGGTTTCTCCTCCCAGCATGCACTTAGAATGACTCTTTTCTGACACATGCTTCACACATATGCTGTCACAGTGTTCTGTAAACAGCCAGTACTCAGTTCACAGCTGAATGGACACTTAATAAATCACTGATTCCCATGCATTGTTCTAACAAATTAGAGCTTCCTGATATTAATGTAGTTAAAATGATAGAAAAGATAAACTTAAAACCTTTGATAAGAATTCAAGAAACTACAACAGAGACAAACAACAATCTAAAAAATGAGGATGCACAGCCAAGAAGAATGATTATAATCTTACCAATATAAGCTTCAGAATCACCAATGTACATTTCGATGCAATGACCAAGCATTGTAACAGAAAACGTGTCATCTCGCCTAAGACCAAGGGCCTGCCAAAAAGATTCAGGATGGTTATGAAGATGTAATCCCTTCTCTTTTGTTTAGAAGTCATCTCACAATGATTCACTTCAAAACATTCCAGGGAATCTGGGTGAGGGTGTAAGTGGGGATACAGTTACAAGACTGGACACAAGCTGATGATAGCTAAGGATGGGTGAGGGTCATGGAAGTTAACCACTATTCTAAACTTCTGTTTGAAAATTACCCCCAAGAGATTAAAAAACTGTATCTCCACATACAGTCCTCTGAACCTTTTGTGTTAATTACATCACTGAAGAGAAGTAAATTATGTAGTACCCAAATATAAGTATCTGAAAGATCATACAAGACCAGAAAACTTGCTTCATCCAAACTGCGATTAGTTTGGGATTCTAGCTATTGCAGAGGCCCCTAAAAATCTCCAACTAAACCTTAAAAATCAGGCATCAACCTATTACCAATGAATTTATCTTTGAAAAAGGACATTCCCTCATATTTTACCTCTTTTTCCAAATACCATCAGTTCATTGTTTCTAAGACCCATATTTTCTCAAATTCTGTTGTTTCTTACACATGATAGTTTCCTGCTACTACCATTACCACAGCAGTGATGGAGTGTCCTGCCTGTGAACAGCAGACTTGGTGGTTATGTAAGAACCAAACCATGGAAAAACATGGAAATATGACAAAAGAACTGTGGTGGTCATTCGCGTTTTCCCAAAAATAAGACCTAACCCTAAATAAGCAGTAGTCTTCACCATGGTGATGGCCTGTGTCTTGCAGAAGATTACACCTCATTATTCTCTTGCTCAGTAGCTACTCTGTAATGGTAGATAAGGCAAGGTTGTTGGAGCTCACATTTTTGATCTCTAGTCTTCAATGCTGATTATTTTCTGGTTAGATCTTATTTTCGGGGAAACAGGGTAATAATCTTTTGTTGACATGTTAGCAGGCTGAAAGGTTCTAAGAGGCTTGCAAAGCAGGGTACATGTGGCTGAGAAGAAATCAGAGTTAAGAATAAGATGTGTGCACTGGCACCAGGACACTATTTTTGGAAAACAGAGATCCTGACCATCTAGACTGAAAATTGTGACCATTTATTTTACTTGTTTTTTTTTTAATAAGAGTGATTCCTGGTTTAAAAAAAAAAATCTTTGTCTAAAATATCCAAAAGAGTACTGTCTTTAAGTACCAGGGAAAAAAAATTAAACGATAAAGAAAAATTATGTTCAAGTTTAATTGGGAACATTTTCTTCTTTGTGGTCACCTTGTTTATTTATGGTATCTTGGTTCTGATGAAATGGATTAAAGTGAGGTTCTTTCCTTGTGATTAATGCATGGATTGCTTTTGTGTATCTACTAAATCAACCTAAAGGAACTGTTAAGAGCTGTAAGTAGACGTCTGGGTGTTCCCAAAGCCCATTCACTGTGAAGAGTTATTTCTGTACTTGCCTGCCTAGATGAGACACCTGAACTAAATCAAATAACAAGTAACTTTGGGCATTAGAAAACCTAAATGCACTTAAAACAAATCTCACAATTGTTCTAATTTGATGAATATTGCTTAACATGCACATGCTTTTCTCTACAAAGAATATAATGAACATAAGGTTGCCTAAAGAAGTTTAAAACAGTAAAGAAATAAAATACTGCCTAGAAAAGATCTCATAAAAAAGAAGTAGTAAATGTTAACCAGATTTAAAGTGGATACAAATAAGACATACAGTGTGAAAATAGTCCACAGCATTTTCAAAGTTGCCCATCAGACTATGGATATATCCTATGGCAGAATAGGTGGATGCATTCTGAGGAATTAATACCAATGCTTGCCGGTGGTAATCCAATGCCTCAGTATATTTTCTGTTGAAAGAAGCCAGAGGGGGTAGAATTGGAGAAGGGGGATAAAAGAAAACAATTATTGAGTATACTAAAAGTACTAAATTTCTAAGATACACAAGATTCATCTAAGATACACAAAATTCATCTACATACACTCAGAAGAAACTTTACTGTATTACAATAGTAGAATAGACTGTTAATACTGTCTCATAACTATTTTTAAGATTTTCAACACCTTGAAATGTATCTTCCTGGCATGCTCCCCTCAGCCAGCCATGGACACTCCTGCATGATCTGCTGTACTTGCCCTTGCTGTCTAAGTGACACTGGAATCAGAACCTCATTCTCAATTCTTGGCCTGTGCCTTATCACACACTACTTTTTCATGTGATGATAGGCTTCCCACACCTGTGGTTAGAAGCACCCAAGGAGTTTTGCTTAAAGATTTGCAAGTCACTTGAACAGTGTTCCCCGAACTTCTCTGGGATATTTATCCTGTAAAATCTTGTATGGAAAAAAGCTTTTGGGAAATGCTACAACTCATAATGCAAAGTAAAGACTCGAAGAAATCCTGCAATAGAAAAATTAATTAAACCTTGACTTATCTAATTTCCAAGAATTTTTTACTAGTACACGTTTCCAATACATTTTGACCCCTTCTCTCCCCTTTCCTGTGTTTATTTCCCTTTCCATTTAAGGAAGAACTAACTCCCTACTTCCTGTATCTGTCCTTTATTTTGCTCTTTATTTATATTTTGGGTTTCTCATGTAAGAGAAACCATGTAATATTTACGCTTGTGTGTCTGATTTATTTCACTTAGCATTATGGTCTTGTTATGGTTTGGGTCTGGGTGTCCCCCCCAAAGCCTCATGTGGCCATGGGGCAGGCTTTTAGCGTTTGATTGATTATGGGTGTGAGAGCTGCACCCGCCCTGGGGTGGATAGTTTGCATATGTAAGGGACAGGAAAAGGGTGCTTGAGGCCATTCCACCCTGGTGCGTGCTTGTTGCTTAGCTGTGTTCTGCGGCCATCAGCTGTAGCCCTCTGCCATGTGCCAGTCTGCCTTGTAATCTGCCAAGTACGGACTAAAACCTCCACAAACTGTAAGTGAAATAAACCTTTCCTTAATTTTGGGAGTCAGGTATTTTGTCCCAGAAACAAGAGAAAAGTAACCAAGACAGGTCTCAAGGTGCATCCACTTTCCTATAATGACTTAAGTTTATCCTTCTTTATTGTAGAGTAGTACTCCATTCTGTATAAATACCACAGTGACTTTTTACCTGTCATTTGTTTACTACACCATTAAATCTCTGGAGCAACAGAGTTAGAATATATACATTATTTGAATTAGATCTTATTGTCCTGATTCTTCTGAATTATTTTGGAATACTAAGATTGTTTTTACATTAAAAGAAGTTTTTATAATGTTTCTAAAATAAAATTAAACAAAAGGAGAGAAATAATAAAAACACTGATTTTGATGCTTGTTGTACCTGGGCAGCCAAGTGTAAGGAAACTAGAGGACCTCATGAAATAAAAATATTGCAAAGGCTATTCAAAATTAGGTAAACATTTAGCACATTTCTAAAAATATATTTTGGAAAATGCTCTACTTTACTTACTTAAGTTTTCTGCAGACATGCCCCAAGTTGTTCAACAAAGGTTCCCATTTGTCAACTGTTACCTAAAGCATAGCAACATCAAGCCCATGAGTTACAAGTGTCACTGTTTAGCCTGGTTTATTTGAAGTGCATCATTTCATGCCTCTGCAGCCAGGAGGTCTTTGCATCCCTCTCCTGACAGACGCCTCTACCACAGCACAGGGTAAGGGCATTTGCCGGTTTAGCCATTTTTCTTTCCTCCTAGAGGAGACTTCCTGAGAACTCTACCACAATTAGAACTGTCAAACAGCCCAGCCATGCTGAAAGTGTTTAAATTATGTACCTGTAGCCCAGATTCTCTTTGAAACATTGCATTTTTATATGCATCTGCCTAGGAAGTATTTCCACTTAGAGATGTTTCAAGAACTTTAAATTCAACATGCTACACCAACTCATCTCTCTCTGGCCATTCCAGCTCCCTCATCATGTCCCCTAGGTAACCCAACTGCCAGTCAATGTAACGAAACCATCCTGATGCTCTAAGAATACCTACAGTTTGTTCATTCTACCTCCCGGGCATAACGCCAACCCTGGAATCCTCAGCTTTCCATTGGTTTGGGTTTCTATCTTGCAAGAGCCTGACCATGATGTCCTCTTTGGAAAACCATTGTCTTCCCACACTTCCAGGGCAGGATATAAACTCTCTAACAAAGACAGTTTAAGGCCATTAATGACTCACACTGAACCTGTCCCACTTCTTAACATTTTCTATGACTTCAAAACCCAAGCCACACTAAATCAGCTTTCAGCTTTGTATGTGTCACTCTCTACACCTCAAATATTCTACTTCATTTCTGCTTTACTGACATCTGGTCACCTTCAAGACTGAGATGCATGATGTAACCAAAAGCCCTAACCACCTCCGTGTCTGGGTGAACCACTACCCTTCTATGTAGGTAGTGCCTTTCTTTCTTCAATGACATAGTTGTATTACTGCCAATTTACTAATTTGCATTTATCAACAGATCTGAGGGCAAGAAATACCAAACTAGCTTCTGTAGCACCCAATGCCTAGCTAAGAGCCTAGGACATAGCCATCAGCTAAATGAACAAAGAAACCTGAGTCACTTTTTCTAACTTCCATTGAGACTGGGCCTAGAAGCATAGCCCATGCAAATAAAAATAAATCCTTCAGTGGTTCTTAGGGATGGCTGCTTATCTTTGGGTATTTGGATATCTACTATACTTTATAACTAAAGTCACATAGTATTTTCCTTTCATACAATTTTTAATGGCACTGTGATACTTCAATAATATTGTGTTTTTATACTTAAAGCCATTATTTTCAATTTCTGGAAGACTGAAGTGACTCTGAATGAATGAAAGAATATATTTCCAATTTTACATGTGGCTCAGAAGCATATAAAACTTTCCCATGCAGCCATTTGGATTCAGCAGACCTGAGAGTGTGTACTTCTAAACAGCTTCCAACTGCTAGGCAAGACTAAAGAAAAACACTAGGATCATCCAGAATCATCCAAGACTCAGCTGAGAAAGAGCCTACTTTTATACACATCCACATGCAGATGAGGATGACAAACAATAAGAGACCACAAGAAGCAAAGCTGAGTCCCTGGGGATAGGCAGACTGCCACTACAGCAGGCCTGCAGAGCTGTACCTGTCACATGTGACAGATGTGGACATAAGGAAGAAGGGGTCCTATAGGTAAATGTGACACTGGGATGTGAAAATCAGAACAGAATAAAACAAGATAGGTATAACTCAAAGAACTGGGAACCAGATGTGCAAATCCCTTACCTATACGTTTATTTCTAAATTGTTACTACTTTAAAATAATGCCAGCGCATATAGATCTTGGCTAGTTGGAGGGCTGTCATAGCACCAATTCATGAGGTGCACCTTTCACATACCAGAACCTCGCCAAAGACTTCAAACATGCAAAGGTCTAAATACACAGCACACAGTAAGGGACAGCAACCAAAGGTCTGAATTCAAATGACAGCTGCCACCATGGAAGTGGATCTGCTACTAACTGTAGGCACCCCCTCAGTCAAGCACTAGGCTCCTAAAGGGTCTAGAGAAGTACTTGTTAGAAGGTGCAGGCCCATCAAGTTCTACTAACCATCCCACATGCCCAGTGCCAAATCATGTCATATATCTGACTGCTCTCATGTAACCCAGCCAGGGTACTCTAAGAAGCAAATATCCAACATCTGTCCCTTCTTCAGAGCTCATTTTTGCCATGTGGTAAAATAGTTCATTATCTGACAATTTTACAACACCAAGCCCCTTGTTATGACAGATGTCAGGTTATTATCTCTCTAGGTAACAGAGACTATGTCTCCACTATTTTTTTCATTCAATAGTAAATATGCTCAGTGGTATGTATGTGTGTACTTACAGATATTACATAGAATAATACCTCATTTCCAATTGCTTTAATTTTTTCCAAAGCATCAAGAAACCATTTTTCTGCTGTTTTCCATCTAAAAATAGAGGGGAAAAAAAGGTTGTAGGTTATTCAAAATTAACAAGTATAAACATCTAAAAAATTTTTTTTAGTTATCTTTTTCTGGTAGCACTACAATTGAATGGGTAATCTACTGAGAATAAATGACTCAAATTAAAATTTAAGTTAGATAAATGGTTAATCTTATGGTATTAATATTATATGAATTCAGGATTTAGGAGACTTGATTCTTATGATTTGTAGTATTTAGGTTTCTGCAAACCTCCTGTTATAATACTTCATCAACTGATCATGAATAAACTTGTTTCTTGTGTGCTTCTGTCAGACACCTTGTTTAACATGCATTGTTGACTCACTAACACTGAGCTCGAGGACAACAGCATAGTCGCTCCAGCCTGAATGAAGCTTATCTGACACCATCTACTTGGGGAAGATATCAAGCTTCTAGTGCGTCCACCGAGACAGCACTAAGCTTGGAGATTAAATATGAAATACCTACAAAAATGTGAAAATATGGCACTAAATAGATCACAGAAAGGACCCCATGTGAGGTGATAGAGATAGGATTCAGGGGCGTCCAATCTTCCAATAGTGCATATCTGAGCATATCAAAGGCCCCAAGTGCCAGTTTTAAGGTGCCAAGAAAATCTTAGTAAGTAGCCAATGCACAGATACAGAGCTCATAGACACCAAGAAGGGGCTGCGCTAAATCAGTGTGCATCTTTAAAACTTCAAACTTTCTGTTTGATAAACACCTAGACAACCCTACATGCCACAAACAACGCTGAAGCTCTACTTTACTGTTTTTAAATTCATGTATAATCTAATGCAAAGAATTAGATTTTTTAAAAGTATGGCATGGAATCACTTAATTTATAAATATCAAAGGCTACAGAAAAGGCTCAACTGACCTGGACACCAGCAACCGGGAGATTATAATTAGCTTAATTTTCTGGTTTACTAGTTTCAAAAATTGTGGGAAAACTTACTCAAGTGTGTGTCTAACCCTAACTGACAGAAATGACCAAGAATCCTAGAACCTCCAGGTCACACTGTGGATAAGAACGTGTGGCAGCCAAGATCAAAGAAGATCAAAAGATGGCTTTAGGATTATAAGGAAATCCAAGAGAGCAGTGTCTACTTTTTCTCTTTAACTTCCATCTCCTAAAATAATACATAAAAATAAAAATGCTACAGGGTCACTTTGCTCAACTGAACTCTGGTGAGGGAGGTGTCACTCACAAAGTCAACAGAGGGGCCGAGGCCTTGGATACTTACTCTCCATTCTGAAAGGCAACCACCCCAACCTCATGGATTACAAAAGGGTCTTCTGGTGCAATGCTCAGAGCTTGGCCGAAGAATCTTTCAGCCAGTTTTGAGTTATTGGTCAAACCATATTCTAATCCAATATACAGCATTGGCAGATGACACCTAAAGACATTGGAAATTTCATACATTCAATACCAAAAGAAGTTGGTTAATTCAGTAGAAATTTGATAACTTCAGACACCATCTGCAAAATAATTTAAACGTAGCCTAAAACACAACATTAACCCTTTTCTGTTTACTAATAGTTAATGAATAGCTAATGGGATTTTAGACTAATCAGTTGCCACTTCTAGAATCTATCCATAAAGCCAACAGGAACACTGGCTAATGTTATTAAAAATCAACTTTTTTAGAACTTTGGGAGTTAATCCAGGACTAAGTGTATGTTCAAGAAAACACCTTGCTCTGGGTAAGCACAGACAACTTGTGGTCCTTAAAACATACTCTGCCCACCTTTTGCCCCAGCAGCCCCTTTAGCAATGGCAGAAGTGGTACAGCCCTTGGCCCACTTGCCACTGGGAGCAGCAGGGACAGCAGTATGGAGCTCCTGCAGCAGAGGGACTGCAGCCCTGGAAAAGGCCTCTCCTAGCCTCTTTTTTTGATCTCAGAGCTATCTGTGAGAAAAGGTCTATCTCTGCCTCACCTGTTGAAAACAACCAGCAGCACTATTTATCACTGCAGCTGCCTGAGGCAGCTATAACTAGGCAGGCAAACAAGTGCTAGCCAAAACCTTACAGGACAAATGAGGAGTAAGACCTTGGGGCAACACCAGGGGCAGATGCAAATACTGGAAAGCCCTGAGGAGGCTGAATCTCTCATCTCTGACCTAAAGGCTCAGTGTACAAAACAAGTGAAAGCTGAGGCAGGTGGTCAACAGCAGTGGGTTGCAAAAATGTCCCCACACAGGCAGAAAGGGATCAGAGCCACTGAGCTAGCTAACCAAGGCTTTTAGTGGCCTCTCATAGCAAGGGACACAGACTACAGAATGGATTCTGAACTCACTATAACAAGTGGGGTGGATGGGGAACCTGATTTCCAGAAATGCCACATTATATTACTTTCAGCAAAAATAGATAGGCAAAGGAAAAGACAATATGGCCCATATACAGGGAAACAAAGCCACAAGAAATTTTTGGAAGAAGCCCAGATGTTAGGCCTAAAAGACAAGTACCTTAAAAAAGCAGTATTATTCTAAGAACTATGTCTACAAAATTAAACTATAACAATGTCTTACCAAATAGAGAATAATAATGACATAGAAATTATGATTTTTGTTTGGTTTTTTATTTATAGCATTTACTGTCTTTTTACCAGTTAATTGTAAGTATAATAAATGACCATTTAAGAATATTTCAGGGCCAGAGATATAGCTCAGTGGAACAAGCACCTGCCTGGCAAGTAGGAGGTCATGAGTTTGATTCCCGGTACAAAAAAAAGGAGAATATTTTAAAGAACAAATATGTAAAACCACTAAGGAAGAAAAATCATCTATAATTCAATCTTTCAGAGAAAACCAGGGTTACCATTTGTTTCTTCTAATAGACTATACACTTAATTTCATTTTTAAACAACAATGAGCACAAGTTGTACCAGTATTTTGCAACCAGTATTTTTATTTGTTTGGGTTTTTTTTTTTTAAACAGGGTCTCACTAAACAGTGCATGCTGGCCTTGAACTTGCTTATGTAACCCAGGCTGGCCCCAAATTCACAGTGATCCTCTTGCTTCAGCCTTCCCAGTACTGTGATTACATGGCTGTACCACCATACCTGGCATATAGAAATTATTAAAAAGGGCCAAATAGCAATTCTGGAGTTGCAAAGTACAATGAAGAAATACAACACTGACTAGGAAGGCTTAAAGGCAAATTTGAATAGGTAGGAGGAAGAATCAGTAAGTAATCCATATGATGATGGATAACTGAAAGAATCCTTCAGACGGAGACTTGCCGAGCAAGAAATAATAGAGTCCTCCAAGCTAAAACGAACAGACACTAAATAGTAACTCAAATCTACACAAAGAATGTGTCCAGTATAAGTAACTACACTGGAAAATATAAAACAGTGTACGTATGTTTTTGTTTACAATTCTTTTCTTCTGACTAAAAGTCAATTGAGTAAAACAATAATTTTAAATCTGTGCTGATAGGCTTATAATGTGTCAGGTGAAACCCTTATGAAAATAATGGCAGAAAGGAGACAGGAGGGAATAGATCTAAGCTGGGGTAACGTTGTTTTGGTATACTATTGAGATTAGGTTGGTTTTAATAAAAATTAGATTGTTTTACGATGTTAATTATCATCCCTGAGATAACCACTAAGAAAAAGAAATGTGTGTATGTGTGTGCACACGCACACAGATATATAGATAGACATATACCATATATAGAAAAAGGTGACCAAGATGGTTTGACTGTAAAGCATCTATTTAACACAAAAGAAGTCAGTAATGGAAAAACAGATTCAAACTATGAAATACAGAAAACAAGGAACAAAATGGCAGACATAAATCCTACTTGCCAGTAACTATAGGAAATGCAAATGGAATATACACTCCAATGAAAAGATAAAGGGTTAAGAACATGATCTAATTGTACGTTGTCTACAAGAGGCATACTTTAGATTCAAAGACATGAGCAAGCTGAAAAGGATGGTGTTAGGGTTTGTATCTGGAATGTTCCCCAAAGGCTCCTGTGTTACAAGATTGGCCCCCAGTGTAGCAATGTTCAGAGGTAGGTCTTTTTGGAACTGATGGGTTCATGAGGGTTCTGACCTTATCAACAGATTAACCCATTCACGAGTTCCTAATCAGATGAGCTCCTGGGAGGTGATGGAAATTTAGAAGGCAGGGCACAGCTGGAAAAAATGGGTCCTTGACAGCCTGCCTTTGGGGGCTAAATACTGTTTCCCATCCATCCCCTTCCCCCACAAAATTTCTCTCTGCTTCCAGGATGCTAAAAGATAAGTACCCTTGCTCCACCAGCACCCTACACAGTGGTGCTCTGCTGCATCAGGGCTCAGAAACAATGGACCATGTGACCATGGACTGAAACCTCTGAACTTGGGAGTCCAAATAAATCTTTCTCCTTTAAGTTTTCTCCTTTAAGTTGACTTTCTTATTAATGTGTCAAAGCAATGAAAAGCTGACTAACACAGATGGAAAAAAAGATATCACAAAACAAAGGAGAATTAGTATGACTTAGATAAAACATACTTTAATTAAGGAGAAACTGTTAGTACAGACAAGAGAGGCTCAATCTGTGAAGAGTATTCATGATTGCACAGCATCTAACAAAAGAGGTTCAGAATACATGAAGCAAAAATTGTCAGAATAGAGGGAGTAACAGACAATAAGAGCTGAAATTTCAGTGCTCCACTTGCAATAAAGAACAGAGTAACTTGGTAGAAGAGCAAGAAGAAAATGGAGGCTTCAATGACACTCAGAAGATGAAACCTAATAGAGGTCTACAGAACACTGTACTCTACATGAGCAAAGATCGTAAGTGTATCTGAAGCAATCTCTGGAACAGGCCCTATGCTGGCTCATAAGAGAGGACTGAGATCCCACAAGTGATGTTCTCTAGCCACAGGAGAATCAAGTGAGAAATCAATACTACAAGGAAATGTGGGACATTCACAAACATGTGGAAATTCAACATATTCTTAAGTAGTTCAAAGAAAAAAAAAAACCACAGAAGAAACTTAAAAATTTATCTAAACACAGGCAAGTTAAAAGAATGCTAGGTTATTCTGATATGAAAATCTTATGTTGATGTGAAAATTTAATGACAAAGTTTGCTAGACTGGAAAACACTACAGATATTGTGTTATTCACTGTTACTGACTTTGATTCTTAGTTAGGAATTAGCTAGCAACTACTATTTCTAGCATCTAGAATATCAACAGATACCAGGCCTTAGCATGTATTCCTATAAAAAAACTAATAAATTACTGAGATTTTTTTGCTGCTTATTTATCAAGTTGATAGTAGAAATATGCAGGAACTGGGCCTGAACTTCTGCACAGATTGAAGGTCTCACACGTCCTTAAAAACAGGACGGACAGACTGGACTAAGCATGAAGCCCATTTATGTGATCAACAATGTGATAAATGACTACAACCCAGAGGATTATTTCTAGAGGCATGATTCGTGCTCTGGAATGAATGAATAGGACCCCCTCAAATTCACACATGAAGCCTAACCCCTACTGTGATTGTATTTGGAGACAGGGCCTATGAAGGGTGGTAAAAGTTAAATGAGGTCCTGAGTAGGCCTCTACTTGAATAGTGAGGGTCCTTATTAGAAGCTGCCATCTGCAAGCCAGGAGCTGCTAGCACCTTGACCTTCAACTTCCAGCCTTTCACAGCCATGAAAAAATAAATTTTCATTGTTTAAATTATCCAGTCTGTGATATTTTGTTATGGTAACTCAGGCTGACTAACACACTTAAGGACTTACGTCCTTCACCTTCACAGTATTTCCATAAATGACTAGCTAAATATAAGAGACATACCTTTCAAACTTAATACTATAAAAAGCTGAGATGATAAATAATCTGTATGCAGAACCAAATGCCAAAGAGTCTGATAGTATGAAAAGGCAAATCAAACCTAACAAGATGAAATTCAAGATAAATATTTAGCCCTATCCCTGAATTCTACAAAGGTAGCTAAATTCTATTTCGTACCTTCTACGTATAGGACACCGCTCAAAGTCTTTAATGGCTATTACTGAATACTCCCCACAATAAACCAGTATTATGCTATTATTCCTACTTTTCCAAAGGGTTAAGCAATTTTCCCAAGATCACACAGCACTGAGTGGAAGAGCCAAGAAGTACAAGCAGTCCAAATGTACTCCAGCCCTAGTGACCATCACATTCCCAACGCCTGCCCCCACAGGGATGGAGTCATCAGTCAGTGAGATCTGTTCACAAAAAAGAAGTCTGCAATGAATAATCAATGTGAAGTCACAGAATCAATGGGAATAATAGTACTTTCTACTCACCAAAGAAATATACTTTCAGGATACATTTGTATCAATACTGTGTATATAATATTGACATAAACCTGTAATACTGGCAAATAGTCCTGCACTACCACTAAGCCATACCAAATAACTTCTGGTAATAGATATTATAATTTTGCTCATGAATATTTTCATTTTTGCATAAACATGTGAAAAAGGGCTTCCACAGTCATCTTTTCCTTTGGCCTAATTTCATAGCTCCTTTTGCACTGAGATAAGCTGTTGGGCAAACTCAACTTCTTTTCCCCTCCATCTCCATAATTTTACAATCACAAAGTAGCACATAAGAAGCAAGTATGATGGTTTTGTTTAGTGTAGCAACCAAATGGCAGTAACAGTAATTTCATTTCATTCTATTAGAAGGAAAAAAAAACAAAAACAAAAACCCAAACTCTCCCATGGAGTTCACTCAGTTTGCTCTGTCATACCCTTTCATTAGCTGTGCTGCTGTAAAGTAGGCAGCCATGGCCTGGTCATGCTCACTCTCAACAGCAAACGAATGCCCATAGGCTATCCACGCAGGTCCATAGGTCTTCTCCAGTGTTGTAGCTTTGCTAAAACAAAAGCATTCATTCAAGTAATATATTTATTGTTAAACTGTTAATTTTATATAAACACATGGCTTCAAACACATTTATTACTTATATTAGCTCAATAAACTGTTAACACATTAAACACTAATATAATAGTTGTGATAATGCATCTGAACTAAATGTTTAGCAATTCAAACAAAATTTTAAGGAACTTTAGGAGACAGGTCTATACCTTTTTAGGTACTATAACTGAACTCATTAACATTCGGCATAAACTCACAAATATTATTTATCCCAGAAGTCCATTCTATAACCCAGGCAACAAGCAGTGGTAGTAGCAACAGCCACTTAATGATGGTTGTTTTGTGCCAGGTATCAGGTTGGGTGCCTTAGATGCATGATCTCATCCTAGCAACTTGCAAGATAAAGTAAGTATATTTTAAAGACAAGTATACCAAGGCTTAAGAGATAAGAGATACCAAAGGGTGATGATAAGAGATTCACCCTAGCTCCCCAGGTTGGACTAATCTTCAATAAGTAGACATTAATAGCTGATATACAATAAGGATTAAAGAGAATATATCACAAAGTATGGACAATATAAAAGGTACTCTCCTTCTTCCTGGCCTTTTATTTTCTCAGCTTTCATTCAAATGTTCCGTGTTTCAGGTAGAGTCCACTGAATCACAAACTAAATTAAAGAAGCACAGTTCAAGAGCACTTCTATGATACTAATAATCATTTTCCTACTCACAAGCTTTTCTAAAGTGCTGTACATACAACCAACTGGAGAGCTCTTCTTATTTCCTTCCTAGTACAAGGCTCTTTTGTGTCATTACTTTTTCTAACAATTCTGGACTAGAAGTACTCCATCATCCTCATTTTTAGAGAAGAGAGTCAGACTTCCTTGACTCTCTCAAGGAATTACAGCAGAAAAATCAAAGAAATTGGATAAGCATTCAAGTCTGATTCCAGAGATCACGTTCTTTCCCTTAGAAACCATTTTCTCTTCGTTAGCACAGGTATTACTGGATTTAAAGTTTTTAAGTAATTAATTCTTCATCTCCTAGACATTTTTCTATACTTGCAAAATAGTGATTAAGTGGCTTGACAGAACAGCATGACTTTCCTTAAGGTAAAACTACATAGGAACTTATGTATTCTGCCAAAAATTGTTCTATACTCACATTCAGTAACCCTAGTATCATGTAAAGTGTTACACAATTTTATAACTATTAGCAAAAGGGCTAAATATAAAGGTTAATAGTATCTTTGTAAAAGAAAAACAGAACCTTTCAAACTGTATTTTTCTCTACTATTTTCTATTTATTCTCACTTATGAGTAAAACAAAAACCACCTAAGCTCCTTCCAAACAAGGTGCATACCACCGATTTACCTCCCCTTATAGCATCTTATGCAAAGCAAGGCACACAGGAGCCGGGCGTGGGGGTGCATGCCTGTAATCCCAGCACTTGGGAGGCTGAGGCAGGAGGATCATTGTGGGCTTGAGGCCAGCCTGGACTACCAAGTGAGCTCAAGCACAGCCTGAACTGCATTGCGAGACCCTGCCTCAAAAAGAGACAAAAAAAAAAAAAAGGAAAGGAAAGAAAAGCAAGGCACACAGAAAAAACTTATCCTTTCACACTACTTGAAAACTATATTACGATTTATTGCATTGAGTAAGAAATCTTTTTCTATAGGTTCACTATAGAAGAAGTAAAACAAATTCATACCTGAGATATCTTCTGGCATGTTCATTTTTATGACCAACCATGAGATAATAACATCCCACTGCAAACCAAGACACCTAAAAAGTTCAAAATTTACCATGACCAATAAGCTTAAATTTGAACCGGAATATCTAACAAGCTACGCTGGACAGAGGGTACACCAGATGTTCCCAAGTCACATATTTTAGCATGAATTAAAAATTTCTCTACAACAACTTACTCCAGTGCTATATGAGAACGGATACTCCTCAACTCTTTCTCAAGGTGGCTTCCATATAAAGGTGCCCAAGGATACTCATCTGTACATCTTGGCTTGACCATGGTTCTCCTTGCTCTGCTACGGTTTGACTCTTGTCAAGCCTCTCCTGTACTGACTTCACAGTGAACTAGGGGAAAATTCTTGTCTGGTCTGAGACTTAGACCCAGACTCTTGGCTTTCTTTAAGGGTATAGTTACTGATTCTGTTTTTCATTCCTAGATCTGCATTCTGACCCACAGGAGGGTAGAATACACACTGATTCAATCATTCACAAAGCTCAGTATGTTGTTTTATCCTATGCAATGTGAGATATCCACCCTGATTACATTCCTTACAAAAGGTAGGGTGTGACTGTCACCATTAGTACTTTATATTCTGTATGATGAATACCTTAAAAAACATGAATATTTTTATAATTAGAAAAAAATAAAGATTTCTGTTTTAAGTTACTTCTGTATAATTAAAAAACACCTTCAAGGAATAAAGAAGTAATGCCACCTTCTAATGCCTTAAACAGATTGTGTCCTACTTCTTTAAAATAAAACATTGTTCACTTGAATTTAAATATAATCTACTGTCTAGATATAGTACTACTTAGGTATTTTCTTAAAGTTCATGTAAGAAAAGAGATTTATATTACTTACAGGATTACTAGGATATAAATCCACCAGTTTGTGAGAAAGATAGAAAAGCTCTGTATTACAGAAAAAAAAAAAAGAATTATTCAAATGAAATACAATACAATTTAAGGTTGGACCCTCTCCCTAGTTATAACTCTTCACAATCAAAAACCTGTTCTTAAAGCAACAACCTTATCCCTCTCTTCCTGTCTAGGTATAAAATCACTTGGCTCATGAAGTACAGAAATCCCACCTGGTAGATACAACCTCCCCAGACCCACAGTGGGTAGTGAGCACTTGCTCAGGGACTGGAAAGCTGGATAAGGGCACATGGCAGGCCACAAGGGAATGGATGCCCTGAACAAAGCACTTCAGGTGTGGCAGAGGTTCCTGCAAAGTTCCCAATTTAGAAACCTATATCCTTATGACACACACATACCCAAGATGGACCACCTTAGCCACCCACAATCAAACTGGTCAGCACAAACTTTCAAATTGATCAGACAGTGTATTATATCCTCTTGAGAAATACGGGTTAAATTCTAGCATTTTGTGACAAATTTCCTATATGCACACTTTAAGATGCAGTAGTCTGGGGCAGCTGGGCAGACTATACCTCCAAGCAGTGTCCAGGAGATGCAATGCTACTGGTCCACATACCAGTTAAAAGTTAAATTAAAGTAGTTTACATACCAGAGAGCATCAGGAGTTTTGAGTTGGTTATGAATTTTCCAACCTCCTGACAGAGCTCACTGTTCAGTTTTATAAAATTAAAGGACAAATATTGGCACAAACACAGCCAAATGTTTCTGAAATATTAAAATGTAGAAAACTCAAGCAAAAAATCTGCTCTCTTCTAGTCTGTAAATACTGCAGTTACTGACTCTGCCATATACATTTTAAGGAATTTACAAAAAAAAAAGTCAAAATCCATACTCAATACTTTAAATCACAAATTATGTTTGAGAAAAGGAAAGAGGAAACAGGAACCCAGATATAGATTGTTCTGTCAGAAAAGCAAAGCAGGCTTGAACACTCTGATAACTCTTTCTTCCCCAATCCTTACTCTTGTCACAGGGCTCCATCATGCTGTCATTTCAGTCTCAACTGTCCATGATTTGTAAGACAGTTTCAAGAGTTACAGAATTTTCTGTTTTAAGTATTTTAATTAAAAACAAAACTCTTACCATTTGCTTTATTCAGTTCCACAAGCGTTCCTATATGTACAGGTAAACAATTTGCATGGAAAGGATCTTTTTCCATTACTCTGAAAGTTAAATTAAAGTAGTTTACTATCCTGGAAACAGTATGTGACAGCACTCACCATAACTATTCACAGAATATCTAATTTAGAATAACACATTTGCAATGCCTGAGACTGGGTCCATGATTTAGGGGTAGAGAGAAGGCTAGAGGTTGCTGCTGGCATTTAGCAAATAGAGGCCAGAGACACTGCTAAATACCTAATCTAAAAAACACAGAATATCTAATTTAGCTAAAGGAAAAGTCTGAGGAGATACCCTGGAAAGCTGGTGTATACAAGAGATGGCTTAGCTGAGTATGCCAAACAGGGCAAAAAGTATCTACAGGACTACATTAGTTTCCACTTTTTCTTTTCTTTTTTCTTTTTGTGGGGTTCTGGAAGGGTCAAACCTAGAGTCCCATGCATGCCAACAGTAGGTAAGTATTCTGAAATATATCCTCAGTTCAGTCTCTACTACGTGAAGAACTTTATAAAACTATTGCTAAAATGCTGTTTTCAAAATCATCAAATATGCCGTTTTCAAAAATACCAAATGCTGTTGATACAAAAATTATCAACACGGACCCCCATATCTCTCTTCTAAGTTAGTATAATACACCTACATGTATGAATAAACTGCTCTTGTAAGAAAACAACCCGTTTGGTTCTCTGAAAATGTAAATTAAACTATCACCAAGTATTTCAAAATTACTCAGAGAACATGTCTATGACTTACACAAGTGTGGTCTGAACCCCATGTTCCCAAACAAAAATGGCAGGATATACTTACGCAGATGTAAGCTTGTAGCACATCTTAAAATCACAGTTATAATAATGTCTCTCAGCTAAAGACACTACCACATCTAGATTCTCTTGCAAGCCATCTACAGACTCAGGGATGACAGTTTCACTAGGCTTATTATACTGAAACACAGAGAAATTTAAACATAAACTCAATGAGAAGAAACATATCAAAAGGCAGACTCAATCTGTTTGGCCCACGTGGTTAACACTTGTATACAGGACCTATGTGAGTCCTTGAAAACTTTTAAGCTTTAAGTTTCACAGGTACTCCCTCATTCAATTTAATCTTGTCTCAGTTTCATCACAGAATTTCATGGTAGGGAATATTTCACACAAAAACTCAGGAAGTATAAGAAAAACTCCTAATTTTCACACAGCCCCATCCTACTTATCTGATAATTCAATCTTTTAATATAAGGAATCCTCGAGAGGAAGATGAAACTATTTTAGAAGCCTTTTTAGGAATCACAGGCATTTTAAATAATCTATTTTTTTTTGTTTTTTTTCCAGTACTGGGAATTGAACTCATGACCTCGTGCTTGCTAGGCAGGTGCTGTGTCGCTGAGCTAAATCCCCAGCCCCTAAATAATCTATTTTCATAAGTGTGCCTGATCAATAAAATCTTTTATTTTTAAAGATTTAATAAAGAGATAAAGGTCAAGCTTAATGGAATAAATAAGACATTTATATAAAGCAAATGCTGAGTTTCTGCTTACCTTTTTTAATTTGTTCTCAAACAGAAAACGTAGTAATTCCTGTTCTTCAGGACAGAGCTTGCTAAGAGGTAGTGATTCAAGAAGTTCTTTTTCTTAAAAATGGTGAGAAACAACAAAAAAAATCACAATATTTATTGGGGAAAAAAGTCAGCAACTAAAAATATTCTGTATAGTTGGTCAAAGTAAATCAACTCGACTCAAAACAAAAAATGCTAGAGAAAGCTGACATTAGTGGTCTGCAGGCCTCGGAGACTCAAATCACTTGAAGGAGAACCCTGGAAGGTTCCTATCATTAGCTAAACGGAGGCCCACAGGTGTCAACACCACTGATGCTGTGTGGACCATGCACTGCAAAGTATTTAGCAGTGTCTCTGGTCTCCATTTGCTAAATGCCAGCAGCAACCTCTAGCCTTCTCTCTACCCCTAAATCATGGACCCAGTCTCAGGCATTGCAAATGACCCCAGTGATCAAGAACGACTGTACTATGCTGAAATATTTGAATCCAATTGCCACAGCAATCCCATTTTCTTCCTGGTCTCTTAATTGTCCACCCTGTATCACCATCAACACACCACATCAGCAGTTCTGTCCCTACAGACAGAACTGCTGTACATCAGGATCAACTGGAAGCTTTAAACCATCTGAGGTCAGGGCCTTCCTTCAGAGACTCTGATTAGACTGGTTAGAAATTGGGACCTGGACAATGATTTTGTCTAGAGGGTGGAGGGTGCTGGGAATTAAACCCAGCTTCTCATGAATGCTAGGCAAATACTCCACTGGTGTTTGTACCATGTACATTCCTAGCTTTCTTACTACTGAGAAAGGGTCTCACTACATTGCCCAGATTGACCTTGAACTTGTGATCCTCCTGTTTCAGCCTACTAGGATTACAAGTATATAATACCGTGTCTGGAAACACTGGGTTTTTCAGTTTTTGAAACAGGGTCTTGCTATGTAGCTCAAACTGACCTACAATTCACTATATAGCCCAAGGTGGCCTCAAACTTGTGGTGATCCTCTTGCCTCGGCCTCCCCAGTACTGGGATTACAGGCATGTGCCGCCACACTCAGCTACACTGACATTTTTAAAGCTCCTCAGGGATTCAAAGTATAGCCCTGTTGAGACTCACTGAATCAGATACTGTAATCTTGGTTTATACTACCTCCAACTGCTTCTCAAAAAGATAATCTCACAACTCCACAACTGCTAAGGAATAGCAAAAGGAGCAAAAGGCATTGCACAATTTCGAGTTTTGCATTATACTTCCTACTTGAAGACAGGAGAGTTAGTAGGTCTATTCAAGCTGCACATAGCCTGCTCTTGATTATACTTCAGAGAAAAAGATAGTCCCAACAATACTAACTGTGCTAAACATAAAAACACCTCAATTTCCAAACCTTCTTGTGCTGTCAACATGTGGTGTGATGTTAAAAGATCAAATGCTTCAAAACAGTAGACATCAAGCTTTAAAGCTTCTTTATAACTGTAGGTGGCTAGGGTTCGATTATCTAAAGCATCATAAATTTTCCCTCGTAGAAGACAAATAGAACTCTTTATCTGCTGGAAAAATTAGAGGAGTCACATATTAAGTCTGAACTTTTAATATTTGATCCAACCCCACACAGTATTTAATATATCTATAAGGATTTGGCTCAACTATCAAAGCATAGTATGAACTAACACAGACATGAAAGAAAGCTAATCTTTAGGCTATCTTCCTCAGGTTCTGATCACTTTATTCCAATGAGTCTTTATAACTAATGTATATGTCATGGCTACCAGGTGCATTACTTCTTTTGCCCCAAAGAGCGCAATGATTTAGAGGTAGCAGAAATGCATGCGTAGGACAAAAAGTATGATGTGAAGACCCATGAGGGAGTCCCTAATGAGTACTAGTGACCTGTGGTCAGAGTTCAGGAGCATGGCCTGCTAGAGCCATCGACCTGAGTTCAAACTCCAGCCCTTCCACTTAAGTATGACCCTGGATGATGATTTAAATAGTCTTGGCCTCAGCTTCCTTTCCTTACTTGTGAAAAGGGAAAAATACCATCTTACTTATAGAAGTCAGTAAGGACTGGAGATGTGACTATCTCGTCTCATTATCACCATTAACAATAGGACATGGAGTTGGATTTACAGTCTAGAGCCAGAAACTAAGAAACACATAACTGAGTTGAAAAATGATCCAGAGATAAGCAACTAAAATTATTAAGGAGATGCTGTATTATAATGCAATACACAAGTTCAAAAGGTTATTTACTTTTGCCATGAAACATGGACATTCCCCGCTGCTGTTACTGAAGCATGCTAACAGTATGACTCACTGAGGACTGTGACATTTCCCAGTCACTGGAGGAGTCTTTCAAGCCACTTTCATCCTTCAGGTATTTTTCAAATAATCTTTTGTTGATTGGTTCCTCCATATCAAGAATATCAAGAGCCTGCTGATACTCTTTTGCAGCATACTATGTAGAAAATAGAAATACTCATCATCTATGACTTCTAGATTTTAAAAGGGTAATACACATTATATTCATTATTTAAATCTAAAATGTAATTTTCTTCATGCCTGCCAAAACAATCAGTATTTAATAGCAAACAATACTAAAGAAAAGAATATTTCCTCATGAAATACTATACTAATCTGCCAAACTCATCACCGACTCTTGTACGTACATGAGGAATGCATAACACTTACATAATCAAGCTTTCACCAAATAAACGAAACTGAGCATACTTACGTGACATCTGGCTGCAAGGTAACGACATGCTTCATACAACTAGGAAAGAGATTGTTTAAAAAGTTATTAAATTAATATGTATCTTCACTTTGAAGAAAATCATGAGCAGAAAATGTAGAGAGCTATTTCCACAATTTCTCCTTTTACTCTTGCATTTTAAAAAATCCCAGTCTTCCTACTGCATATTTACCGACCTTACCAGTTTACCCTGCACACAGAATTTAAAAATGAGTGAGGATCTCCCTCTGCATGTTATAGTAGGGGAGATATGAATAGAACACAACACATTATGAAAGGCAGGCATAAAAAGCACTAGCTGATTGAAAGAAATATCTGCAGAGGAGAGCTAAATGAAGAACTGGTCAAGCAGTAGAAAGGAGCCTAAATACAGTACCTGTGCAATGTCTAAGACATAAAAGGAACCTAAAGTATTTGCTAAAAGCAGTGACAATAGTAGACCTCTGGTATCTACGAATGCATCCGATTTTATCCTGAAAGTAGACAGAAATCACCAAATGAATTTGTAGATGACATATTCAGAACTGTGTTTTAGTTTGCAACTATCCTTGTGATAGTTTGGACACAGCAAGGACAGACTGGACACAAGGAAGGTGGGAAGGAAGAAAAGGTTACTGGAGAAGAGACAAGAAGATAGGCTCCAACAGAACAGACAGATGGAAGGCCTCACTTGTGTGACTGGCAAGGAGATAGAAAGAGATGGCAAGAAACACACAACCTTAGAACTCACAACTTCAGAGCTACATAGAAAAATTAATTTTCAAGCTGAGCACAGTGCCCTGCATCTGTAGTCCTAGCATGCAGGAGGCTGAAGGAGAAGGACTGTTTGAGACCAGGAGTTTGAGACCAGGGTGGGCAACATACTGCACCCCCATCTCAAAACCCCATCCCACAAACAACAACCAAAACAGCATTTTTTTTTTTTTCCAAAACAGCTTTTTCATAACTTAGTGACTAGATGGAGTATAGAGAGAGGGGAAACAAGGTGTCTGGGGTTAAGAATAGGAAATTTTCTCTTCACATTCAAGAAGAAATGAATTCTCTTAAATAAGTTTGATATAAATAGAACATACACCTGAAATACTAATCTTGAGGTAGAAATAAAGATTGGTAGAAAAGAAACAAGAAATATCATAATTTTTAAAATGTACTTTAAAAACACCTACAGCTTCAAGACAAAAATTACTCCACCCCTTTCCCCTGCCACGAAACTCAAAACAAACAAACAGTAAGCCTGTAAATTGGGCGTGAGCTTTTCATCTAAAATTCTGTTTCCTCTCAGCAATGTTAGTGGGCAGCATATCTCAACTTTAAACACATGTAAATGGTTTACATTCTAACAGAGCCTGACCAAGTGGGTAACCTGACAGGAGGAACACACTAGACTATTCATCTTAATAACACCCTTCAAGACTACATAAAGATAACTAGCTCCAGACTAGAATATGTCTGTCTTGAGAGCCCATACTCTATTTCCTCTGACTGTGTATTTTTAAAATCCTGCCTAGGGCTGGGGATATAGCTCAGCAGCACAGCGCCTGCCTGGCAAGTGCAAGTTCCTGAGTTTGATTTCCAGTACCAAAAATAAATCAAATCAAATCAAATCAAATCAAATCAAATCAAATCAAATCCTGCCTAATAAAGCTCTTATGCCTCTCACTAAAGCATCTTGAAAATTCTTTTTCTATGACAAAAGTCAGTGATCTTACAACCTACTCCATGGGTGGAGTGAATTAAGGTTGTCTTCTCTTCCGGGGACCTCCTTGGACCCCATCTGTGACATTCTGATGACTTTTTAAAAAAAACAGGACTGAAAGCTCTGAAATTCACACAAATAATGTACTTACTTTGTCCAGTTTTCGTGACCGAAGTGCATGGGCTGCTCTGTGATACTGTGCTGTCAGATAAAGACACTGAGCCAACCAGTAGACATCCTGAGGGTCCTCTGGAGGGAAAAATTAAAAATAGTCAGAGGAGCAAGGTGAAATAGTTCAAAAGATTAATTAGAAAAAATTAGTATTTACCACTTACCATGAGAGAGTGAAGCTACTTTGTCTGCCCAAAACAAAGCACTTTGATACTGTTGCTGCACACACACAAAAAAATGAACAAGGGGTAACTGCCCTGTTTTTTTCAGTTATGAACAGATGTCCACTATTATTAGAATGCCATATAACATCTGAATGCAGTAAGTTTTCATTTGTAGTGTCTGTCAATCATATTTCTACCTTATAGCTTAGGTAGGATGAGTTTTAGTTTAATTGTACAATAAGAACATTACTGTAAGATCTTTACGTATATAATTCATGAAGGTAGTCTTAAAAAAAAATACACTGCAAAAAGCATGTACCTAAAGTAGGTAATTTAAAATCTAGTAACTACTACTTCTTGTGCTGACATTTATATAGGTTCATTCAATAAGCTGTTAACCAAAAAGACAAAAAACCAAAAAAGCTGACATTGGAAAGTCACTCACAAATTTGCCATAGCTAGCTTTAGTCCCTACTTCATATTATCTTAGTCTTTCCACAATCTTTGCCTCAGTTCCCCTTAGCAAGCCACAACAGGGATGCCAGAGATGAAGACAGGGAAGGATACCTACAGACCAGCTGCAAATCTGCTCAGAGAAGGTGCCCCAAGTGGAAACCAGGCCCATGTTATTCCTCTCTATATCCCAGTGCCAAAGAAAAAATGATCAAAAAACCTTTTAGTCAAGGACTGGTAAATAAACCAGCCGCCCGGCATGGTACAAAGATTAGGCCACATTACTTAGCACTCAATTCGGAACACGCCGCATAGAACATGGCTCCCCTACCCCTTCGTTTGCAATTTACTGAGAATGCAAGTACTTAAAACAGAAGAGAAACATCACATTGATGCTGATTACAGTCTTAAACCCTTCTCGCTGTCCCCTCCGGAGTAGTGTAAGGAGTCCCAGGTCGTTAATAGGAGTTTTTTTAAAAAAGCATTGACTTGAGACAAGCTTGTTCATACCCTTATTCACGTGAATTCAGGCAAATACGAATCACAACTAAAACTCGAAACGTTCTGCGGCCAGCCAACTTCTACAGCCAGGCTGCAGCTCATCTCCACCGTCCCGCCCTGCCCCGCCCCGCCGCCTACTACCCGAGCCCGCCCTGGCCCCTGGCCTGCCCTTCCTCCCGCACTTGGTCCAGGTACTGCCGCACGCGCTTCCGCAAGCGCTCCAGGTTCATGGCCATGCAGCGGGAAAGCGCTCCACACCCTAGAACTCAGCCGCCAGAGTCTCCGGGTGCCCACCCACCAGCACCCGCCACACAGCACTTCCGCTCCCGACAGGCCACGTCCCGGAAGTCCCTGCAAAAGCGTCCCCTCTGAAACGGTAAACGAGCGTTGTGCCACTGGTTCCAGGGCAATCCTGTAACGCATGGGCTTCGGCCGCTCTGTTGCTCTCTTCCCGGGCGCGGACTCACCGTCGCGACGGACCCAGTAAGCGCGGGGAGAACTCCAGAGCCCCGGCGCGCAGGCAGAGTTGTCCGCCGGGGCTGTGAGCGCGAGGGACCATCGGCTCCGGGAGAACTGTCCTCCGGCGCAGAGAGCTGTAGCAGCGCGGCGGCGCCTTCCGGCAGGATTGCCGGGGACTCAGAGGCGGGAGGGGTAGGAGAGACACTTCCCGAGTATCTTTCTGTGCTTTTTGATTTGCAATCCATACACATGTATTATCATTTTCTGCTTTTATGCCTTTTTTTCTAACGCTTCTTTTAACTTCATTATTACCCTGTGTTCTTGTGTTTTGCATTCTTAGATACAGCCTTTCTTATTTCTTATTCTTTCTTATTTCTAACTACACACTAATGCGCTCTCTTTGTAAAAGAGTCCAACCACGAAGGTGTAAACAGGTTGGAAATTTCCCTTCTTTCTCAGCTTCCTAGGAAAGGTCATCGCTAAGTTGTTGTGCATTTTCTGCTTTCTCGGTGCTTTGTTTATGTGTATATATCTTACTTTCTCCAAATAGGTGGGGTGAGGCAATATGTAATGATTCTGAGACTTGCCTTGCTCACTGATATACCTTAGAGATCTTTCCCCCAGCAGCATCCACTTTTTTATTTAGTAACTGAAAAAATATTTTCTCATATATCCATCAGCCTCTTGGTACCTCTTTACCTCATCTATAATATGTAAAATGGGACAAGAATAGTTCATGATTCACAGGAATGGCACATATAAGGATCAGATAATTCTTGTAAATTGTTAAAAATAATGCTGGCCATATTCTTGTAATTAATATACACATTATAAATGTTATATGCTATAATTAATGGAAGTAGTAGCCCTTGCTAACTAATCTAAGAGGAAAATTTGCAGCATAGCAGTGCATCCACGCCTCTTTCACTGGGCCTTTGCTAGCTGTTAATGTCATCCAGAAACATCCCCTCAGTCACACCCAGAGTAATGTCTGAACAAACATCTGAGCACCAGTAACCTAGTCCTTCACCACTACAACCAGTTGGGTATGCTACTGACCTAGAGGCCCTCAACCTTAAACCCAGCACTCTGCTCCAATACATACATGACCTCCTTCTCTGCTCTCCTTCCATGCCATGGCTATGCAGCACACAGCCACTCTCCTTAATTTTCTGTCAGAACGTGGATATAGGGTCTGTCCAGCCAAAGCCCAGATAGCTTCACCAAAGGCAAATATTTGGTACTCACTCTCACTCCCACCACTCACTCAATCACTGCTGACCACAAAGCCCTCCTCTGTGACCTCCAAGTTCCCACTACAAAACAATAGGTTTTTTCCTTCCTTGAGTTAGCAAACTTCTTTTATCTCTGGATTCTTAATTTCACTTCCCTAGCTCAGCCCCTCTATAAGGCATCCAAGGGCTCCTTGTCAGAACCTCTTGACTCCCACTACTCCCATACAACCCTCTTTTCACAAGCTACAAGAGGCTCTTTTAAGAACCCCGATGTTCACTCTCTCCATCCCGACTCAGCCTTTTACTTTATACATTTCTTCTCTGGGTCACAATGCTGTGGGGGTCTTAGGACATCAAAAGGGACCTTCATTTCAGGCAGTAGCGTATCTCTTAAAACAGACAACACAGTATGTGGGTGGGCTCCTTGTCTCTGAGCCCTTGCTGCAGCAGCCACATTAACACAGGAGACAAAAAGTGTTCACCCTAGGACAGTCAATCACAGTACATTCACCCCACCACCTTAATGAGCGCGTCTCTCACAAGACACTCCCCACCCTAATGACTCCTTCCCACCTGCAGCAAACTCATTGGTCACTTGTACAAGACCCCCTCCATCACCATTGCTACTGCTGTACCTCTCAACCCAGTCACTTTACTCCCTATCCCTGATGAGTTCCCTCAACATAATTGTGTCAAGGTCTTACAGATGACCCCAACTCCCTTTCCCCACATTAGCAGCACTCCTCTTCCTATGGCCTCTGACACATGGTTCATAGATGGCAGCTCAAAAAACACAGACACTCAAAAGAGGGCAGGATATGCCATAGTCAGTGGGTCAACAGTGAGAGGCAGGCCCATCTCCAGTTGGGACATCTTCACAAAATCAGAGCTTATAGCTCTTACACAAGCCCTCACACTGGCCAAAGACAAAACTGTAAACATCTACACAGACTCCAAGTACACATTCAGTGTTCTTCACTTTTATGCTGCCATCTGGCAAGAAAGGGGATTCATCAACATTAAGGGTACTCCTATCGCTAACATGCCTCTCATCCTTAAACATTTAGAGGCAGCACAACTCCCAAAACAGGTAGCAGTCATTCACTGCAGGGGACACCAGACTCCAACAGATCATGTAGCTCAGGAAAACATGTTTGCTGACACACAGGCGAAGTTAGCTGCTCAACAGCCACATCCTTCCTACCTTCTCATTCCAAAGGCCATGCCCTTACCCCAATATTCATCAGAACAATTACGCTTACTCCAAAAAGCTATCACCAAAACACACAGGGATGGATCTTCCAAGGGCTAAAGCTTCTCCTCCCAGACCAACAAGCACAAACCATTATCGCTGACTTACACAACTGCTTCCATGTCAGTACTCAGACTCTATATAAACTCCTAGCTTCCATCACTACATATCCCTCCCTAAAAGCCATTACTCACCAAGTCATTCAAAACTGTCAACTATGCATTAAAACTTCTCCTTAGGGACATTTACCACTCCCCTCTTTCCCGACCACCAGCTTTGTGGACATACTCCAGGTAAAGACTAGCAGATTGACTTTATACACATGCCCGGCCACAAAACTTACAGATACCTTCTCACTTTTGTCTGAACCTTCTTAGGGTGGATAGAGGCACTCTCCACCGCTCGAGAAGCTGCAGATGTAGTCTCCAAGACTCATACAGGACATTATTCCTAGATTTGGACTGCTTCAAACTATTTAGTCTGATAATGGTCTGACATTTATCTCCTAAATCATTCAACAGGTCTTTTTGAGCCTTAACATTACCTAGCATTTACACATACATACCATCCATAGTCCTTGGGTAAGGTAGAAAAGGCAAATGAACTTTTGAAAATACACCTCACAAAACTCATTTAGAGTTACATCAGCTGTGGGCTCAGCTCCTTCCCTTAGCTTCCCAGGGCACTGACCTTTTTGAGCTTATGTACGGTAGGCCATTTCTGTTTCACAACTTCCCAACTCCTGATAACCTTCCCCCTATTGCTGACAATATTCTGGCTCTGTCCTTCCTTCAGTACCTGCTGTGACAGCATACTGACCTCTGTCTTCCACAGCCAATAGATAACACCCAGCCACAGCCTTCTATAGCCCCTGGAGACTTAATATATCTAAAATCTTCCAAGCCCATAGGATTACAGCCAAAGTTGTCTGGACCCCACCTGGTCATCCTCACAATACCCACCGCAATCAGGGTCACCAGCATTTCATCCTGGTTCCATGTCAACCAAGCTAAGCAGTGCCCTGACAATCACACAGCCCCTGACTCCAAACCTTCACCACCAGAGTTGTCATCACACCTCTTATCCTCCACTCATCTCAAACTCACCAAAGTCTCTAGCAAGCTGCCGAGGTAACCCATGTACTGCTGTCCCCTTTTGTTCCTGATTCCTTACCTACTGCTAATTTTTTGCATTCCCTGTTGGACTGTGGACCATCTGCCCAAGGAACTTTCAGGTACCACACAAGATAGCCTTTATACTTCTGTACTTGATAACAGTCTTTGGACTGTCCACCCTTCTTTGCCTACCTTAAACCTCACAAACATGCCTCCCCTTCTGACCCTCATATTCCTGCTTTTTCCCTTATTCTCCAGCCCAATTTTAACAGCAGTACCAGCCTCCACTTACACCCTCACTCCATCCTACTCTAGTTTAGTTTTTTGGCTCAAACCACCTTTTTTGTACACAGTGCTATTCTTTACCCTTACCTGTATTTTGCTCGTCCTTTGGTTCCCTCTGGGATGTTGTCTTAATCAACCCCCATACACTTTCAAACTTACTCACACTGAGGGGACAGTCCTGTCCATGGCCAACTGGACCTCGGACCTTTCCCTAACAGTCCCTTTTGCAATCTATGGCTCCCTGAAGAGACAGTTGAGGTTGCACCACCCACTGGCTCCTTCTGTACCTGTCCCAAAAAGGGAATCTACCTTTGCCCCCAAACCTCTAAAAGACAACCACATTGCAATGATTTGGCACAATTCTATTGCCCCAAGTGGGGCTGTGAGACTATAGGCCTATATGACGAAACCAGTACCTAGACACAAAGAGACCTTGACATCAAAGTAACCCTTTATCCCAAACCATACCTTGTAAAAGACTTAAAGGCCAATTTTACTGTTCTTAATCCCTCCAAGAGGGAATACCTAACAGGACTTACTTGGGATCTCCAATTTATGCAGTCTCATTCAGACACAAGAACCTTTCTGTTCCTCCAAGCCGCCCCCCAGATCATAACCTCCTTCACAATTATTACTTGCTTTATTCCTTCTCCTCAACCTCCTCTTCACACCTCTGCCTCAGTCTTCATACACCAACTCCTTAATGACACTTTACTGTTTCTCAAAAATATTACTCATACTCCCAATGCCACAGGCCTCTTGGGATGTTAGCTTAGTTTACCCTCTCACTAAGATCTATACATGGCCTACCCAGTCACATTAAATACTTCTTCACTCCAAACTAATCCCAGAGCCAATATCATCAGTCCTCTAAACCTTGCTGCAAAACAACTTTGGCTTCTCAACTTTTCTTGTTTTTATCGCACTAGCCATTCTCCTTCTGCCTCAAAGCAACAAAATCTCACATCTTGCCTACACCTTTGCCCCGTTCCAGACACCACAACTCCCATTTGCTCTTCTCCTGGAAAGTTCTTTTGCCTGTGGCCAAGGGGCATTTACCTGTCTCCCGTCCACAGGGCAGGGCACATGCACTCTGGCCATAGTAGCACC